ATAGCTCACTGGAGCCTCAAACTCCTGAACTCAGGTGAGCCTCTTGCCTCAGCCTCCCTAGTAGCTGGGACTACAGGCATCCATGAACACACCTGGCTAACTTCTTTTATTTTTTTAGAGATGGGGTCTATGTTGCCCAAGCTGGTCTCAAACTCTCAGCCTCAAACAATCCTCCTGCTCAGCCTCCTAAGTAGCTGGAACTACAGGCATGTGCCACTCACAACCAGCTTGTAACTTTTCATTTTGAAATTTCAGACTGACAAAAAAGTTGAAAAAAACTGATTCAAAGAACTCATATGCTTTTCACAAAGATTCCCCAAATGTTAACATCCTATATAACCAAAAACAATTATCAAGGCCAGGTGCGGTAGCTCACACTTGTAATCCTAGCACTCTGGGAGGCCGAGGCAGGCGGATTGCTCGAGGTCAGGAGTTCAAAACCAGCCTGAGCAAAAACGAGACCCCGTCTCTACTATAAATAGAAATAAATTAATTGGCCAACTAATATATATAGAAAAAATTATCTGGGCGTGGTGGTGCATGCCTGTAGTCCCAAATACTCAGGAGGCTGAGGCAGGAGGATTGCTTGAGCCCAGGAGTTTGAGGTTGCTGTGAGCTAGGCTGAGGCCACGGCACTCACTCTAGCCTGGACAACAAAGTGAGACTGTGTCTCAAAAAAAAAAAACAAAACAATTATCAAAATAACAAATTAACAATGATTCAATACTATTATCTAATCTATATACTATTCAAATTTTACCAATTGTTTTACCAAAATGAAAAGACAAGACAATACATATAACCCATTTGTCAAACTTTTCTAAGTCCATCAAACTAAAAATGTGTGCAACAGCAGGAGACGGACAATACAAATGATTTCAAGTCCCACTTTCACTGTCAGGTTCACGTTTTCCCACTAACAAAAATAAACAGATAGAACTAAAGCACTAACCAAAATTGCCTTAGGGGCCGGGCACGGTGGCTCACGCCTGTAATCCTAGCTCTTGGGAGGCCGAGGCGGGCCGGATTGCTCAAGGTCAGGAGTTCAAAACCAGCTTGAGAAAGAGCGAGACCCCGTCTCTACTATAAATAGAAAGAAATTAATTGGCCAACTGATATATATATATAAAAATTAGCGGCATGGGTGGCTCATCCTATAGTCCCAGTACTCGGGAGGCTGATGGGCAGAAGGATTCGCGTCGAGCCCAGGAGTATGATGGTTGCTGTGGAGCTAGGCTGACGCCCGGCTCACTCTAGCCTGGGACAAAAACGAGATTCTGTCTAAAAAAAAAAAAAAAAATTGCCTTAGGCAAAAGTAAATCACGTAGAACTTTACATCATTTTTGGAAACTAATGAAGTATAATCATGCGTCGCTTAAATACAGGGATATGTTCTGAGAAATGTGCTGATAGGTGATTTCACTGTTGTGCAAACATCACAGACCGTACTTACATAAACCTAGTTGGTGTACCCTACTACACACTAGGCTATAAGGTGTTGCCTATTGTTCCTAGGCTATAAACCTGTATAGCAGGCGTCCTCAAACTACGGCCCACAGGCCACATGCGGGTGTTTTTGCCTGTTTGTTTTTTTACTTCAAAATAAGATATGTGCAGTATGCACAGGAATTTGTTCATAGCCTTTTTTAAACTATAGTCTGGCCCTCCAACGGTCTGAGGGACAGTAAACTGGCCCCCCTGTTTAAAAAGTTTGAGGACCCCTGCTGTACAGCATGTTACTATGCTGAATACTATAGTCCATTATAACACAACAGAAAGTATTTGTGTATGTAAACATACCTAAACATAGAAAAAGTACAGTAAAAAAATATGGTATTATAATCTTCTGGGACCACTATTATATATGTGTTCATCATTGACTAACATGTCATTATATAGCACATGATGGTAGTTATAGTAAATATCTGGTTTTTTATTCTATTTTGATTTTCTCCTTTCCATGAATTATTGATTGTCACAAGCTAACATTTTCTTTCTTTTTTTTTTTTTTTAAATAGAGACGGGGTCTTGCTCTTGCTCAGGCTGGTTTTGAACTCCTGACCTTGAGCAATCCACCCGCCTCGGCCTCCCAGAGAGCTAGGATTACAGGCGTGAGCCACCACGCCCGGCCTTCAAGCTAACATTTTCATTCCATACTTAATGCAAATGGAAGATAGCAGAAAGCCAGGGACAGCTAGGTAGAAAATCCTGCTGGAATTTAGATGCTTGGCATTTACTTATATTCCTTTTCTTATGTTTTTTTATGTTTATTTCTCCACTACATGACGACTGATGGCAAGTAGAGACTGCTTCTATCTTAAAAGCCAAAAAGGCCAAATACTCACCTTCTCAACTTCCCTTGCAGTTAGAGTACAGGCAATGACCAAAGTTCAGCCAATCCAAGACACTCACTGAGGACTTAAAATCAGAAGCTAACATCACAAAGAACAATGGTTGAGGGAACAACTTTCCAGCATGTAGGGGACTGACATATATTTTCCTAGTTTAAGAATTAAAGTTAGTGAGTAATGTACGTGTTGTGCCCAGAGCGTTTGAAAGTAATCTGTTCCAGACAGGATCCCTGTGATAAACAAAGGTGTTACCTAGAGGTATAACAAAGGACCTGAGCTGCAACTAGCAAGAGCAGCCCCACCCCACGGCATTGGGGGTCTGGAGGCCGCACGATAAACACCCCATAAGATGGCTGGTTAGTCAAAGACGGGTAAGACCCCTCAAGGGAGGGGCGACCTAACCCAGGCACAGCCACTGGGGTTGAGCAGAAGATCTTAGGGGGTCACCCTAAGAGAAGATGGGGATGAGAAATGCCCCCTGTGGCTCACCTTGCCCATCCTTGCTAATCTCCATCCTTTATCTATGCCTAGTGCCTTGAAATTCTGAGGGGATATCTGCTTCCCTAAGGCTATGCATTCCGGAATTTATGGCTATCACTGCCATGCCAGGACAGTTACGTACAAGGAACTAACTTTAATTTTTTAGAGTATAAAAATAAAATTGACCCAGTGTATTATTATTCGAGTCAACCGTTTGTACGTGTGTCTGTGTTTTTCTATGTGTTCTGCGTGTGTGTTTTGTGTTCTGTGTTCATCCTCCATTCTGTAAACGGGCCACGACACCAGCAACAACCAGCTTCCCAAAGACCAGCAGCAGCAGCACAGTCCAGTGTCCATGGTGCTGGTGGTACAAGCTGCAGAATCCAATATTATCAGGCAACGGAAGTGATATACTCCCCAGCCTCCACCCAACTACTTATACAGTGCAATTTTGACTTGGTCCCTGCCTATGTTCAAATGGAGGTTTCTCTAGACTTTAAAACAATGCTCCCAAATACCCTTTCATGAAACTCCTGTTTTGTTCAAATCACTACTGTTCTTGAAAATAAGAAATATGCATGACAGACAGCAGTAATGAAATAGCATGGTAAATCAAGAAGCATCCCACCCACAAAGGTTTTGTGTAGTTTATTTTGGAAAATGGGCAATTCCATGTGTCATATGACTCAAGTTCAAGTCCCATGATTTAGTTACTAGAATGTCACCATTTATTCATTCCAAAACTTTTCTGTTCTAAGTACTAAATAACATGGAAATCTGATTTTATCTGCAAGATGACCCACATTTTCTCCATCAATTAATATTATAGGGCTTAAGAAACAGTAAGTTCTCCGTGTTGCACATTCAAACTCTGGATATATGCCAAAGGACTTAACAGGATGAAGAACTCAATTTGCCTGAAAGAGAATCAAAGATCTATGACTTTAAATGTCAGGGCTTTCAGCAAAACGTCAAGTCTTGAAAGGAATGAATTGTTTTCAACCACACAGTTTATAAAAACTTCAAGGTACTCTCTCAAGAGATTTTTTGTAGTTATCATAACTTCAGATAAGAACAGATAATAAAATTATTATTGGTAACTTTAAAATGCAAAGTCAAATTCTTTAATCATAAATCAAATAGGAACAAAGTAATATTAATGTTCAAATTACAGATCAGAGTTTTGCATTTACCTCTCAACCTCCACCCACCCCAATCTCAGACTGACAGGTCTGAAAAACAGCCATGCACAAAATCATCCCACTTATCTCAAAACACAGTTCTTCCCCTTGCACATGGTAGAAGCTCAGTAACATTTGTTGACTGAATGCAATTCCTATGACTTATGTATATATGTTACACATTTACATGAATTGCTTTTACACAGCACTCTAAAATAGCACAGTGCTTCCAGGCTTCCAAAACACTTTCACATGAATTCTTCCATCTAGATAGGCGGTTAAGAGTTAGACATGTCTGCAATGCCATTAAATGGCAAAGCACACCATGGTACCCAAATAACTTATGCCACCAAAGCACATTATTTGCACCTCCAGTTCAGCCCTTTTGATACACTGTAATTATCTCTCACTTGATCCGCTCTTTAAGGATTCTTAAAGATGTCCCGTTCATCTTCGCATCCCCAGGCCACACAGAACCTAGACCATAGAAGTGCACCACAAACAACATCAGGATTCTGCTACCGCACGCAAGCCCCGTCCTTTCCCAGCGGGCTTTTGCAGTGAACCTCGCCTATGCCCATCTCCGCTCCCACCCACGCCGACCCGCCACCTGTGATTTCCAGTCGCACCAAACGAAGCTTACGGACGGGACAGACTTTGTTCCCCAGCAAAATTACCCACGGCCCATCGCCTCCCCTTAAGTCTGTCAACTGGCCCCCCAATGCCCACCGCAGCCCGGGGGCGAGGGGGCGCGGGCGCAGCTCTGCCCTGAAAAGCGGCAGGGGCTGCGCCTGGGACCCCAGCCCGCCGCGACGTCCCAGCCGCCCGCCTGCCGCGACCCGCCCCCGCGAACACGCGCGCCAGGAGGGCGCAGGGCCGGGCATCCAGGCGCCCGCCAGGCGGAGCCCGGCGACGGGGGCCCGCCCCCCGCTCCCGGCACCCGGAGCCCGCCGCTCGGGCTCAGCGGGCGAGGGCGCTGCGCACGTACCCGAGGAGGCAGCGGTCGCACACGACGCCGCGGCTGCCCTTGCACACCGTGTACGCCAGGGGGTCCGAGCGGAACAGCAGCTCTCCCGGGCGCAGCGCGGCCACGGCGCGCAGCCCGTTCCCCCTGTCGGCGGTCGCGAACTTTTCCACCTTCAGCGGCTCCATCCTCCCGCAGCTCGCACACCTCAGACGTTCGGCGCGTCCCGCAGCTGGCGTCTGGCCGGCGGCCGGGCCCCGCGCGCCTGCGCCCTGCGCGCACACGTACGCCCGGGGGCGGGGCGGGAGCGGCGGCGCCGGTGAGCATGCGCAGCGGGGTCTGGCGGGAGCCTGCGCGAGCGGCGCGCGGGACGCCCGGGCGGACTTGGGCTTCTGTGGTGAGCTCGAGCCCGAGGCAGCTGCGCCGAGGACAGGCGTAATAAGATAATATTTTATTATGACAATTTTAGTATGTACGGAAAAGTTGAAAGAACAGTGAGCACCTGTATACCCTTCTCCTAGGTCGAAGAATTCTTAGCATTTTGCCATTTCTGTTCGCTCGCTCTCCACCCCCCGTTCTGTATTAAGTACGAGTGTATTGCTGTTGAACCATTTGAAATTGCCGACGTCGTAACGTTTCGAACTAACACTTTAGGTCCTAACATTTCATAATTAAATACTTTAACATGCATTTCCTCAGAATAAGAACAGTATCCTTCTCCAAGCCTAAAACTACAATGTTATTATCATTGCTAAGAAAATTAGCTGTGTATACTACTAGCAAGCAAAAACCACATTCAATTAAAGAATGCCGTTTGTAACTCTCTTTGTTTTAGCCAGGATTCAGTCAAAGGTCGTGCATTTTCTTTTTCTTGACATTGACTCTTTGAAGAGTCTAAACTAGGAGTCCTGTAAAATGTTCATTCTGTATTTATGCATTGTTTTCCCGTGGTGTCATTTAACTTGCTCCTCTCTTCCCTATATTTCCTGTAAACTGCAGGTTAAGTCTAAATGCTAGAGTCTAGACGCTTGATTTGATGGAAGTGAAACATTTTTTGTCAAAAAACATACTACAGATGATATTGTTTATATTGTATCATATGCCAGAAGGTGCATAATACCAGGTTGTACCACTATTAGTAACACTAAGTTCAATCAATTGGTTCAAGTGGTAGCCGCTAGACCTCTTCATTGTAAAAGTACATTTTACCTTAGCAATTAGTAAATAATCTGTGGGTGATAGTCTGGCACTGTGAGAATAGCCTGATTCCCTCAACCTACAGAGGCAGACTTTTGAGACTTGCCGGAGGGTCCAAAAGAGGTTGTAGTATAGTAAAAGCACCAGAGGACTAGTATTCCAAAGACATGGATTTAAGTCCCAGTTCTCCCATGTGACCTTAGGTAACTTCTCCAAGCCTATTTATTGTTTATACAATGAAGATGATAATACCTTACAAAGTGATGAGAATAAGTCCTATAAGTATTTTGAAGAATCTTTGAAGTGCTGTACACATTAAGGAATCACTTTTCTGAGTTATGACTTTTAAGTCTGTAAGTATAGAATAATGCCTGCATACTGCATTCTGCCAGTGCTACCACCATAATTACCTCATACCAGTGCTTAGTATTAAGCATGATACATAGAAGTAACTCAGAAATTGTTTACTGCATTAAATAACATGTCATGAGGAGTTCCAGAGAACCAGGGACTAAATCTACTAGTAAAACACTCACAACTACTAAAGACAGGATGTAAAATTGGAATTACTTAAATATTTCCTGATTTGGGTCCTGGGTACTAAGCCTGGAACTGAACAATTTTGGGCTCCAACTGTGCAAAGAGGGCTGCACAGATTAGCAAGTAGTCTGTTCCATGTGTAGGATTATTCTTAACAAAGCAGGCCACTCACTGTCCCTCGTTTGTTCCAGTGGACAGAGGCTAAGGAAGTCTCAGTATCCAAGTCTCTCACATAAGCTCCCTTTGAAGACCCACTATGTTCTTCTTGGACACAGGAAGGAAGCAGTAGCCTCAAGAGCATGGGAACCATGAAGCTCTGTCCCAGCCAAGGAGTTACCCACTATTTCCTGGGCATTGTTTTGAAGCTAACAGAATTAACTCCACCTCCCCCAGCCCTCTACATCCTCCTGGTGGACCTCAATGATTATCTGGAGTTTATCTTTGATCCCAAGGGGAAGAATCTAAATAAGACACTGCTTGGGAAGTACTATGACCCAGGCTCATTGCCACCACACCCACCAACTCAGGACCATCATGGCAAAGGCAGGATTTGGGGAGTCGGAGAAAACCGGGGACTTCAAGGAGTTGCCTGAGCTGGGCCTGACACTGTGGAGGGAGAAGGAAGCGCTGCAGCCCCCAAGGGCATGCCCTTAGGCTAGAAGCACCATTTTTAGTGAAAGACACTGCTGAGAAATGAAGAGACATGGAATCACCAATACTTACTTGACAGGCTAAAAGAAATTTTTCTAAGCTCTTAATAATAAAAAACAAATTTTCAAGCAACCATGTTAGAGGAATTATCTTTTCGTTATCTGTATAGAAAATGATATTATAAAATTGTCTTATGAAGAAGTGATCAAGGAGTATGCAGTCAAAAGATGTATTACAGAGCTCTATCACTGTTAATAAGTTATTTTTGGATTTTGTAATATTTGTGGGTTTTGTCAGCTTTTAAAAATTTATAATTTTTTGTGATTTCTTATCTCATTCCAAATATTCACACCTGTACTTAAATTTGCATTCATTGTTATGTAACCTTTTTAAAAAAATGTTCCCTAATACCCAAAATAATTTATAGCAACAGGATTCCAACAGATACTTGCACACAAATATTCATAGCATTACTTACAATATTCAAGCATTACTTACAATAACCAAAAGGTAGAAACAACCCAAATGTCCATCAACAGATGAATGGACAAAATGTACTACATACATACAGTGGAAAATTCTTCAGCCTTAAAAGGAATGAAATTCTAACATGTTACAACATTGATGAATCTTGAAAACATAATGCTAAGTAAAATAAGTCAGCTATGAAAGGACAAATGTTGTATGATTCCACTTATATGAGGTACCTAGAATAGACAAATTCATAGACATAGAAAGTTGGCCGGGCGAAGTGGCTCACTCCTGTAATCCTGGCACTCTGGGAGGCCAAGGCGGGCGGATCACTCGAGGTCAAGAGTTTGAAACCAGCCTGAGCAAGAGCGAGACCCTGTCTCTACTATAAATAGAAATAAATTAATCGGCCAACTAAAAGATATATACAAAAAAAATTAGCCAGGCATGGTGGCGCATGCCTGTAGTCCCAGCTACTTGGGAGGCTGAGGCAGCAGGATTGCTTGAGCCCAGGAGTTTGAGGTTGCTGTGAGCTAGGCTGATGCCATGGCACTCTAGCCTGGACAACAGAGTGAGACTCTGTCTCAAAAAAAAAAAAAAAAAGAAAGAAAGAAAGTAGAATAGTAGTTACCAGGGACTGCAAGGGAACGGGAATGGGGAATTAATGTTTAATGGATATAGAGTTTCTGATTGGGATGATGAAAAAGTTCTGGAAATAGGGGTGGTAAAAGCACAACACTGTACATGTCCTCAACACCATTAAAATGGAAACTTTACATTATGTATATTTTACCACAATAAAAAGGGCCCCCTTGTATAATCCATAGGCCCACAAAACCTAGATCGGCTCCTACCAATGGAATAAACAATTCCATAATAATACTATAAAATAACATTCTTTAATGAGAATCAGTCAGTAACAAGACTGTTTTATTTGCTAAAAATGACCGATCATTTAACTATCATAAAATGGACATGTTCTGCTTTCTAGAATTCCTAAATGATAAATCAGTCAACTTCCAGACATCTTAAATGATAAAGACCATTCACAAACTGTCAAGATGAGATGGGTGAGATGGCTGAAGAACTATAATCCCAGCATTTTGGGAGGTTGAGGCTGGAGCATCACTTGAGCCCAGGAGTTCAAGACCAGCCTGGGAAACATAGCAACACCCTGTCTCAAATAAAATAAATAAATAAATAAATAAAATAACCAAGCTAGGCATGGTGGTACATGTGTGTAGTCCTAGCTACTTGGGAAGCTGAGGCAGGAGGATTGCTTGAGTCCAGCAGATTGAGGCTGCAGTGAGCTATGATGATGCCACTGCACTCCAGCCTGAGTGACGGAGTGAGACCCTGTCTCAAAAAATAAAAATAGAAAGAAAAAAAAAAGAAAACATTAAAAGAAGTTAAGAAATTGTTTATTTTAAAGAGAACTGGAAATATTAAGAGAGGTTCACAGTATATGAGAAAAGGTCTCTACATCATAAAAAATAACAATATCCTGGGTATGATCCTGAAACTAACCATCTTTCTGCAAGTCTTGGAAAAGATTTGATGTTTCTAATAAAGATCCTTACTCATTTTCTTTACAAACGAATCTAAATTGAATTTTAGAAACTAAATGAACATTTAAAATCAATGCTTTCTAGAACTACTTTTTCCATTACTTTCTCATACTCACTGCTAATAAGTAGATGAAAACCAAGAAGAGCATAGAATGTTGTGCCTCAATTCCCCATAAACCCTAATTGTAAATTTAACAACTATTTTATTAGCAAGAAGTAAATTAGGCTGGGTGTGGTAGCTCATGCCTATAATCCTAGCACTCTGGGAGGCTGAGGCAGGTAGATCGCTCAAGGTCAGGAGTTCGAAACCAGCCTGAGCAAGAGCGAGACCCAGTCTCTACTATAAATAGAAAGAAATTAATTGGCCAACTAATATATATAGAAAAAATTAGCCAGGCATGGTGGCGCATGTCTGTAGTCCCAGCTACTTGTGAGGCTGAGGCAGGAGGATCCCTTGAGCCCAGGAGTTTGAGGTTGCAGTGAGCTAGGCTGATGCTACGGCACTCATGCTAAAAAAAAAAAAAGTAAATTAAATAGTAGCTATAATATTTATAATTATCCAGCAATTTGAGTAATAAACTAAATGAACATTTAACCAAGAATTACTGCATTATTTTAAAAGTCTATTACGTGTCTTGTCAGGTAACTAGGATTTCTCTTCAGGCCTTAGAATGGTGCAAACAGTATAGACACTGGGTAACTGGGTATAGAACGCTAAAACCCTTCCTTCTCTATTAATCCAAAAGACCAGGCTTGTGACTTGGGAGGTCACTAATCACAGTCATAACTTCAGCAGTATGCTATTGTTTTAGTAATTATACTCAAAAAGTCTCTACAATAATGTTAAGAATATGGTGCTATTGATGAGTGCTATCAAG